TTTTTTACAAATAACTAAATCATTAATTTCCTTGACATCTTTAAATTGATTATATAAGTTCTTCATTTAGTGCAAGAAGAAGGAATAATTAAGCATATAAAGTTTTTCTCCTTTTGTTATAGTCTAGGAGATCATCGACATATTATTGAACATGCTCTTATATTACTACTCTCCCATCATAGATATAGGAGTTGATAACTAATTCACACATTTTTTTTTTAAATGATTAAGTTGGTTATTTGTAAAAAAAATATGTACAGTATTAGTTATCCTAAAATATCCCTCCTTCTAAAGTATAATTATACACATTAACATGTACAACAAATTAAATATGGATAGTTATTAGGGGTCTCACTACTCTCCCTGGATGTTCACTTTTTCGCTTGCATCCTGGATTAGAAACGGTGAGTTCGACGAAATATGAATTTTGAAGCATTCATGTTCAGGCTATTGAGACTTGGTTTATTTTATCATTTAAATGTGATGAATTATTCCAGAATTCCAGTAATTAAAATGTCAGAATTAACATCATTAAATATTTAAAGTTTGAGCGATACAAAAATAGTATCAAAATACATAGCAGTTATTATCATATTTGAAAGGGAAACAAGTTGTGGGTAACCGGAATGAATTGCTTGAAATGTAAGGAGCCCTTAAAACCATAGGGAATAACCATTGTAGCGGCTGAATGCGGATGATTCCTTCAAGTCTCGGTAACATGCAAGTTGAATCTCAAATATTTCATGGGGAAAATATCAACTGACGACTTTTGAATGAGATTTATATCAATAAAAAATTAATAAATTTTAAAATTTTATTACAATCCTTTGATCTTTGATGAAATTAATTTTTTTAGATGAAATGATTGAATTGGCTCTAAAATTTAAAAATAAAAAGGCCACCCCTACTATCATTGGAAATGGTCATTGAATTACTTCCAATCTATGAGGTCACTAGAGCCATCAGTCGGTGGCTGGTCACCGAAGCTCTAATGCCGGTGACACTTTATTCAAGGATAATAATTGGTAAAAGTGATTAAGAAAGGATTTGACCTCATGATCCTTTAACCATCTAAAAAGTTTGGTAAAAAAAAAATACATGACAAGAAAATATAAATAGTAACCCAAGGTTTAAACCACTTCCATATCATAACATAACAGCATATTGTTAACTCTTGAACAAAACTTATTATTTTACTAATGTTAATTACTTATTAATTTAATATGAACAATTATAAATTGAGAACTTTAAAGTTTCATGCATTTTATCTGTTAAAATTTTAAATGTAGTGTTGTTAATCATGAATAAATTATTATAAAATTTGAATAGATACTTGTTAATGAATGACGAACATGCACAATTAAACACATCTTACAATTTTTTTAACTTGTAAAAACTTATTATTTGTGCGATAATTGGAAAATAGGTTGAGATGTAAAAAAAAATGTTGATATGATTATTATAAAATTGTGAAATTGTGAATATGCATTTGAAATTATTTTTGCCAAAACTCGAATATATAATGACTAATATGCACAATTAAGTACATCCTATCAATTTTTAACTTGTAAAAACTTAAATGGATTATTATTAATTTCAAATGAGTTGTTGTTAAAATTTAAATGGATACCTGTTAATGAAGGACAAACACTTGTAAAATTAACCCATTGCATATGTTTTTATCAATGTTCTTAGAATGGATCGAATATTGAATTAGAAAGGCACAATAGTTCACGGTTTGTAGAGTAGAACTGGTTGGACCAATAGTCCAACCAATAACTAATAATTGAAATAAACATAATATTAATGTATATATAAATATATTCAAGAAAAAAAATATATAATATGTTAATAAAATGATATAACATTATTGTAAATAATAATATTATAAACTATATTTTATAACTTGTCAAATATATGTAAATTTTAATTAAATTAGATATAAGTAGACTTAAAAGTATTTGTATTGGCATTTATTATTGTCAATATTTTTATAAAAAAATCTCAAATTATATTTATACAGTGAAGTATTCAAAAATAAAGTTAGATTTTCATATGACCTAATTTTTGAAATTTTTTGTTTTTTTAAACTTTTTAATATTATATTTAAAATCATCTAGTTTTCTAAAACCGCTCCGATTTTTTGTTTAACTTCGATTTCCAACTCAATAACGACCCAACTCCTGTTTAATCTAGTTCAATCATAAAAATATTTTTTTAGTCAAACTGAGCTATTAATGATTTTTAAATCATTGATTTTTATAGCTTTTTAAAGGCCAAATAGATTGTTGTTAGCTTTGAATAAATTATTGTTAAATTTAAATAAATCTTTTTTATAATGAACTAATATGTAAAATTCTACATATCCTATCTTTTTTTTTTTAATTTATTAAAACTCAAATGAATTGTTATTAATTACAAAAGCATTGCTGTCAAAATCCAATAAACATTTATTGATAAATGATTAATATATATATAATTAGTGATATCATATTTATTTTTTTAACCTGTTAAAGTTCAAATGAATTCTTATTAATTTTAAATGTATTGTTATCAAAATTTAAACAGAGACTTGATAAGTAAGGCTTTATTAGCCTGAATGCTTATGACTCCTTTAAGTCCATGAATCTCAAATATTAAAATTTACAAAGGGGCTTAGGCTGAAAGAAATTAGATGAGTCCATTGGCACCGCTTCTGTAGATCTCTGTAGTCGAATCTGCCGTCTCACCCACCCCAAAACAGTTAAGTACAAAGTGATGCTAATAAGTAATGATAGTATAGTAATTGGCAATGCCAATGCATCTGCGGGGATGCTCCACCATGACTGTGAAAATATAAGCACCCGCAATTGACGTTCGCATCTCTCTCTCTCTCTCTCTCATTTTGTTTATGTGAGTTATGAGCCCTTTGTAATTACTTTGTTGGACCTACACTGAAGTTAAGACAGTACATATATGAATGTAAAATCTTCTTTAACTGCTCTGCACGATACTAGCAAGTCCCTACTCACAGCTGACATGGATAGCAAACGCCAATAAGGATCAATAAATGTGTCCAATGCTTTCGTGTTGATGGGGGGTAGGAGCAAATGATCCACACAACACCCTTCATTATTTCCATTGATGAGTGTTGAATTAAATAATAACATAGGAGCACGAGAGCCCATATGCCTCTGCAGTTGGATCACTCGCAAACTTCAACATTGGAAATTTTCGCTTTGAATTTACAAATCAATGTTTTCTTTGAAACCCAGCGGATATCCTCACGCACAGAGCAGTCCAGAAATCATTTCCAGGACTCGTACTACCATTCTCGCTTTCATAAATCTTTTCTTGTTCTCCCAATCCAGCTTCGCGGCAAAGAGATGGCAAGCATCCTTAGCATCCCATTACCATGGCTGAGAAAGAAAGAGATATTCAAATGGAATATCATTTTCCATGCATCATTCTCAATCACGCACGCAAAGCAACCAGCACACAGAATTCAACAAGAAACTCGGCTACTATTTGGCGTCTTGAAGCATTCATAGGGAAAACAAATTTTACAGCAGCTCTAGAAACTAAAATTTGAATTCAGTGATTGTATGTAGTACAAGTATTGAATACTTGTACCATCTAAACCGTTTAAAATTTATATTAATATTATAAATTTATATTTCATTTAAAATTAATGAATAAATAAATATATCTGAACCGTTGATATGAATTTCAACAATTAAAATGTTACAGGCATCCAACGTCAATGTTAAATACAATCATTGAGTTCAAACTACAAGAAACTGGGGCCAAAAAACTTGAAAAGCCACGGAAATGATGACCAAAGCAACCTGAATGAGTTTTTTAAAAAACAAAAAAACAACCCGACCCAAATTAAATGGCCCATTATCGGATTCACAAACACGTCGCACGGACCCCCCCCCCGGCCTCCATCAATTATTGATTTCCAAACTAAATACAGTGACACAACCTGAAGGAGAATATTGTTGCAGCATGTGCCAAAGAGGCACATACATGGACTAGGCCTTCGCATTGGTTTTTCAGGATCAACGGGTATGAAAATTTTGCATCTCCTGAGCTGTTTGCCCGCTTACGGTCTGCAGTGAATAATATGATACCATGGTCGAATGCTTTCAATTACAAGCATCACAATAAAATAATGAACGAAAGGAGGGTAACTCGACGAGGAAAAGACAAATCAAAGATCCTCACGTGGGTTACAGCGAGTCAGCGAATACCCAAAATGTTTATATTAATTCTTAAATAAGCCCTGCTGTTTCTTTTTCTTTTCTATTTATTTTTTTTCTTTTGGAGGGGCCAGACCGCCCAGAAGAGAAGATAGACACTGGGACTCCGCCGCTGTTCCTGTCACACAAGAGACCATTTCTCCATTAATGCTCCGATCTGAATAATAACCCATACAAAAAAGTCTCCATAGGCTTCCCCACCACGTGCCTCTTCTCCACACGACAGCGCTTCCACCGGACCATTCTCAGTTTTAACCTATAAAGGATGCTCTTCCTCTCTATCCTCTCAAACTTAAATTATAAAATAATTTAAAATAAAATTATATAAATTAATAAAATACAATATTATTACTGTATAAATTTATTTTTTAAAATAAAATTATAAACTTTTAAAAATATTCTCATATACTTGAATATTATATTATAATATTATTTTAATTTTAAAAAAATTATTTTATACTTTGGGATCAAGATGGAAGGAGCACCTTTTAAAGTACATTGAATATTCCCCTTACTTTAAACAGATATTTTTAACAAATATTCACCATAAATCATTTACGCCGATAAAATCCCAACTCGAAACGCCTCAGTGATGTTCATTGGTCCGGAAAAGGAACTAGTATGTTACCAGAAACGCCCTACTAAAGCTAAAAAAGGACCGAAGCGCATCAATGATTTGCCAACAATGGAGTGACAATAAGGGCCATATATGTCAACATCTTAAGCTCCAACACCCCCAGGCATCGCAGAACTAGCTTCATTTTAGCACAAAATCAGGAAATCAATGAAACCCTAGTTTTACAGGACCAAATCCTCACATAATGATGAAAATTATAACACAAAACGCCCCCAAAAAATCCAATTCCACGCACGTTAGTTTCCGCTCCCTCTCTGGATTACTTCCTCGTACCTCATTATGGAATCTAGCCTCTGCAGCTTCAGCTGCTGCTTGAACTTGTTGATGAAATCGTCCGCCTTTGCGTCCACCTCGTCGTCTGCCTCCGACTCACTCGCCTTCGCTTCTCTCATCGTCGCCGGCCGCCGATTCTCAACAATGTCTTCTTCCCTAAAATGCCCGAACGCCGATTTTGTGGTCGCCGACTTCTTCATCTTCCTTGGGAGCTTTTCCGGCACGTCGCCAGAAGCCGGCTTCGTGTCCGACTTGGTCCTGCTCACATGAACCCCTTGTAACTCGCTGTAAATTTCGTCGAGAGACCGATCTGGTTCGGGATGCTGGATTTCCCCGACACCGTCCTCCTCTCCCCCCTCTCCATCGCTCTCCACCACCGGGGCACCGTCCAAATGGTGTCTCTCCGGTTCATGAGCATATTTGGGCAAGTCAAAATGGGGATCCGATTCACGAGTTGCGTACGAATGAGTGGCGTCGTGGGAAGAGAACCTGGAAGAAATAGGGTCCGTGGGGAAGTAGTCGTAAAGGTTGATGGACTTGAGCCTCTGAAGCATGGATGGGGATCTCGTAAGCGGAGGGTGTGGAGCTTCATGGGCGGGATGAAATTCGGAGGTATGGTGAGGGGATTCTTGGGATCGGTAAGAGTAGAAGTTGATGGATTTGAGTCTCTGCAAGACAGAGGGAGATCTGGGGAGTTGTTGAGGGTGATGGTCAGCGTGAGATTGGGGTTGGTCGTGGCGTTTGCTGTTGGCGAAGGTGGAAGTGATGAAGATGGTGCCGATCATGAGCTGGAGGAGGAGGAAGAAGACAGTGGGAGTGAACCAACTGTAGACGACAGCCCAGATTGAGGGAGTGGATGATACGGATGCCTCCAACATGGCTCTTGTGGGTGTGGGAGACGACAGCCAACGGGGAGAGAGTGTGCGCGCGCGCTCTGTGCTCTTAAGGGAGATGCGGGAGTGAGCAGTGAAATGAGAGGTTGATTTGGGGTAGAATTGGGAAATAGATTAAGGTGGGACGACCCGTAGATTTTGGAACGGTGGGGAAAGTGGAATCTGGAGAAACACGTGGCGACATGCCGGGGGTCTCTCACAAAGCGAGGTGTTTTCTATTTTTTGGTAGACAAATGGGGCCGGAATCCAAGGAACAACATGTAAACTACTACAACCCTCGACATCCTTAATTGGGCTGGCAGATCAGCCCAGACATGGAAATCAACCTTCCATCTTCAAACCCAGATCTGCCAACCTGTCAAGCATGAGCCTCTCTCCGGTCTCCATATAGGTATCAACTGTTACAGCGCTGACCTTCCATCCTCAATATCACTCAAATGAGGATCCGGATCCTCTCAGACTCCTCTCCCTTAGCGTCCTTCAACGGCGGCAAATCTCCACCTTTCAATGCATGCTCATATCTTATCACATCATCTCATATTAAAATAATTTTTTACACCTTATTCCAATACCTTTTATATATATATATATTTTTTTAAGATAATAATTCAAATTAATTTTTTTATTTTCAAAACTTGTCCTAAAAAATTACTCTAAAAAATTTTTTAAAATAATTTTTTGTTAAATGGATTTGACTAAAGTTTGAATAGCTCAGACTGTGAGTTTTTACAAATAAATTTTTGTTAAATAGATCTGATCAAAGTTTGAATAAACTAGATAGTTTGGCTTATATAAACTCTAGTCAGATTTATTTAATAAACATTTATTTTAAAAAAAATTTGCAAACTAATTTTTTAGGATAAATTTTGAAAATAAAAAAATAAAAATTAATTTGAATCATTATCCTAAATATATACTCCTTTTGTTAAAAAATGCATGGTATTTTTAATTGAATTTTACTCCCCAATAAAGTAATTATTTATTTTAAACTAACACTATCTTTTCATATTTATTTAAATTAAACACCTTATAATAAATATAAAATTATTATCACTAAGGGCACTTTTAAAAAAAAGATAATGATTGCGTCTCGATTGATTAAAAATACCTTACATTTTTAATGAAGAAAATATATATATATATATATATGGGGTAGTGAAATAAGATGTTAAAAAATTATTTTTAAAAATTAAATTATTTTAATATGGGATGGTGTGGCAAGATATGAGGCATTGGATACGAATTGAAGGGTGGAGATTGTTGCCGCCGAGGGACTCTGAGGGAGAGAAATCTGAGAGGAACTGGTTCCCTCAAATAAGAGAGAGAGAGAGAGAGAGAGAGAGAGAGTCATCAGTCGTACAACCACAACTTTTCCATGTAGAATTAACCACCCTTCCTTTCTTTTGTTGTTTTTACTATCCATCTAAACACTGAGCGAAATATATATATATATATATATATATTTTTCCTTTGATCTTTCATCCCTTTTCTCCAGAGACGTATCCCCCTTAGACAAATAGGGGGCAATTGTTCCATTGGAGAAACGATACCTAAATTTAGTTAAAATTACAATTGCTCTCATGCAAAATTAATTGCCTCGCGTCCTTTTCAAAATTACCAAGCATACATGTTTAAAAATATTGTTTATTCTTGTATAAAATTTTGTCTCTTTTAATAAATTTGCCCGCGTCACTCTCTGTTTTTGATCAGATCATTCAAACAAAAGCATTAACGTAGTCCTCAAGATTTATTTTGTTTGCAAAATTATTCCTTCATACGAGAAGTGAGTTGTAATTCTTTTTTATTGGGCAAAAAATAGTGATTGCCGAATTGAGGTGGCATGAGAGTCCCCATGTTCCCATTAGCAAAAGCGCGAGAAATCAGGGGAAGAAGCTCGTCAAGTCCGCTGCGGCACATGAGCAGTAGCCTCAGTTGCTTTCAAGCTTTCAGCCACTCCGGTTTCTCTTGGAGTTTTATCCTTTAAATATTAAAAAAAAGCTGTCAATGTGCTTTTAAAAAAATCACTGTACTCCTTCACATATATACCTGTCCATTTAAAAATATAAAACATTTTTAATTAAATTTTATACTTAATAAAATGACTATCTATTTTTAAATTTATCTGTGAGTGATGGAAGCCGAGAAGAAGCTAATGCAAAGTCGCAAAAGGAGAGAAGAAAGGAACTGCTCCATTAATTATTTTAAGTCATTTTGAAGATATAATTTCACAGACCACATCTCCCAATGTTTTAACTTTTACATCTCCTAAAGTGAATTTCACATCACCCATGTGACCATATCTGCTATGCTAGTGCCGATTGCCGGTTTTTCTTTTTCATGTAAACTGGATTTAAAAATGTCATTTATTTGTCGTTGCTTAATTTAATTTTTTTATTTTTATTGTTATTCTGTTTTGAGAGGATTACTATTAGATCTTACATAAAAAAATTAATTATTATAAAATTTATTAATAATGAAATTAAATTGTATTGATAACTAGTTATATTATCATTGCTGTTTAATTTAATTGTCAGTGAACATTACAATAATTAATTTTTTTATAATTGTTAATACAATTTAATTTAAATATTAATAAATTTTATAATAATTAATTTTTTTGTGTGGGATTTTAATATAATTATCTTTTTTTTTTATATTAAGATGGGAACCAATATCTTCTCCAGTTCAATATTTCGTTTCGATTTTAAAAACGTTGCTCCTCACGCCCAGAACCAAGGGAAAAGAGAAAAAAAAAAAACATCCATCTTCTTTTGCTTTGTTTTACCTTTGATGACTTCAATCTATCTGCCCTTCTGCTGTATCTTATCACCGGCATATTCAAGCTATCTGGCTTATATATTTTTTTCGCCTCGTAATTAAATGTGTCTTCGATCTCAGATCAGAAAATGAAAAATATGATTTCAATGGTCTAAATTGTAAAATGAGTTACAAGAAAATATGTCTGGGAGACCAGCCAATTAAAAATAAGGACTACATTATGCAACAGGATTGGTGTAGGTGGGAGTCCACGGCGGATATTTAATTAGTTTTGTCTTTGTGGATGCCTCTTTTTTATCAAAAAAATAAATAAATAAAGACTACAAAATTACGAGTTATAATATTCATGATTTTACTTCTTAACACCGTGAGTGCTTTACGGACAAGGGTAGTAATCAGTAACGTGATTGATTTACCATCCCAAAATGTGACACTAATTGCTATACGAACCAGCTTTTTCCTATTCGTTCATCTTTTAATGTCCCATTATTAACTATGTCCTTAATAACTATTTTTCCTTCGAGTAAAACATATTGACATTATCTTCATTTTATCTTAATTGCTGACATCTCTCTTCCATTTTAAAAACTTATATAAACATCCGATAGAATTAATAATCAAACACAAACCTCCCATTTATAAAATTTTATTTTCATCTATCCAACTGTTAGATAAATATTAAATCATACTTAATAGATGAAAATGCCTCTATTTAAACATAAATTACTAATACAAAATAGTTTTTTTACACCCTCATATTTACACCAATTTATGCACAAACGGTATAAAAATAGGAGGCGATGACATATTTATAAATAAATAGGAGGATGTGATAATATCTACACTGGCTCCTTGCATAACAAGTGTCTACATAATTGATGTAGATAATAGAGTCTGACTTTTTTAAATAAATTAATTTTAATGTATTTTAATCAATGTAGTTATATTTATCCCGTCTCACCGAGATACTTGGGCACCATGTTTGTGGATTCTATAATCACTTGAGATTATATTTTTATGTGTCAACAGTCCAATATTTATAACTGGCGAGATTTTAATATTTTTATTCTATTGTGGCCTTCTATTGAGCTTGGGGCTGATTTCTTTGTGCAGATTGGGCTTGACTCTTCAATTATTCAGCCCAAATAACTTTGTGACCTATCGAGTGACGTTTTATATTTTAACTCAAACACATTGAAAATGAATCTATATAAATTCTAGAATCTTGCTACCATTTAGGAACTGATTATGACAAAAAAATTGACAATGCTTGAATGATGTTAAATCTTTTGAGAGCAATTTGAAAATTGAAATAAAAACAAAAAGACTTTTACACTTTCATCATCATTAATAGTTCTTGACATCTCAAGTGCAATTTGCGGTGTCCTTGAAAATAGGTTTGATTGATATTTATACTAAAGACTTTGGATAATGGATGTTGCCAGAGTTCATAAATTGAATCCCTGCCTTTTTTTCTTAAAAAAAATATAATTTGAGCTCTCTTGTTCTTTAGATTTTCTGACTTGATATTTATAATAAATGAATTTTGTGGATGACAAGTAATTTAAATATATTATTATTTAAATAGGGGCTTTTTTCTATTTAAATATAAAAAATGTCATATATCTACACCAGTTATGGATCAAAATTGATGTAAATAAAAAAAATTTTAAAAATAAATCCCATTCCTTGACTATCATCTACATCGATTAACCAACGGATGTAGACATGATTAATATCTATACCTTATTGTATAATTGTTATGGATATGGACAAGGTTTCTACACCAATCTTATCTATACCGGTTATAAAACTAGTGTAAATACTTAATTTTAACAAGTATAAATATCTGCTTCTGTATTAGTGAATGTTATCTAAAAATCAGTTAAAATACCAAATTAAAGAAATAAATGCATTTTTTTACATTTTTATTCATATTTTTTTAGTTTTGTAAAATTATTATTTATAAATTTTTTTAGAAAAATACATGAGTTTGATAAAATAATATTTCAAACACACATATAAAGAACTTAATGAAATAGGGATTTAATATAATAAGAGATAAATTAGTTAATATAATTTATATTTTTCTTCAAATTTTATTAATTTCAAATCAAATAATATTTTTAAAATTTTTATTTAAATATGTTTATTTAAATTTCAAATTAGATATTGTAGTAGGTTGTTATCTGTGTATAGCAACCACATTTGATAGTCTCCACCATTTGCTATGAGACCATTGCCTATCTCCCAAGAAAGATGAGTGGTAATAGTATTGGTTG